ACTTACGTGTGTGGCAACTGGCAGCCAAACGGCACATGGATCAGCATCGGCAACGCTTTTGCTGCCGTCTCTACGGAAATCATGGACAGCGAGAAACAGTGCCACCTGCGGCCGCCCGTCTCGCACTAATGTCGCACGCACGTTCCGGCTCCCTGGATGCTCGCGTTAGGTTCCACAGACGGACTCGGGTTATGGCCTAGCGGAAAGACTTGAAGCCCAATTTTCTGAGAGGAAGTTGAGGCCCACCTAGCAACTTGATTACGGGCCTGCCTCTGTTTTGGACTTTTGCAAGCTTTTTTTTTTTTTTTTTTTAGTTTCAAGCTGAACTTTTGCAAGCTGATTTAGTGATTTGACTGTTTTGTGCAGTACCTCCGTTCCAAAATAATCATTTCATCAATTTTTTTATAAAGGAAGGATTTTATTAATTTATAAACGTTAGAGTAAAATGCACGTTGAGTCCTTAAACTTTTGGGACATTCCCATCTAGGTCCTCGAACTAAAAAAGCAACTATCTGGGTCCCTGATCTTCTGCCGCCGTATACCAAAGGTGCAAAACCTACCACGCCAGCATCAGCATCTGACGTGGCCATGCCACAGTGGCAGCTGGACACTGGGGTCATGCCCACTTCTCCAAAAAAAACCGCCCATTTTCTCTTTCTCACTCCCAAGTCCATCCTCTCTCCCCAATCACGTCGCTCCTGCTCTCCTGCGGCCACGTGCAGATGGAGGCGCACGTCCTCATCCTCGTCGTCCTAGCGGTAGCGAGGCGCGCAGAACGCTGGAGCCAAACAGTGACACGGCCGGAGGCGCGCGTCAAGGGCTCACACGGCGAGGCCGCTTGCCGTGTGCATGCGTGGATCGGTGAGGCGCCCACCGGCAACCTAGTGGCGCGGCTCGCATAGCGTGGCGTGGCGGCGCAAGGTAAAGGAGTGTCGCGAAAGCGGCACGCGCAGTGTGGCTGCTTTCGCTAGTACTCGCTTAATCGATGCGCGGCGCCATATGTCGCCAGCGATCTGCTGGCGTTTCGTCGTCCTCGTCCACCCGAAGCGTGCCATGGGCACCCACCGCCAGAGCTCCACCATGCGAAGCCCAATGCCCAGCTCGCAGCAGCCATGCCAGCGACGTCGAGGGCTCGAGGCTCTTGGAGCCCATGTGCTTGGATAAGAGCCATGGCTGTATGCCGACGTCCAGCTTGCACAGGCGCTCTAGGCCGGATGCACTCTTGGTCGCTATATGATGGAGGAGCTGGACGTGCCCACGTCGCTCCAAGGAGCTGGCCATCGACGACTACACCGACAGCCTGCAATGCATGGGGCAGCAGCACCGCCGGCGGCGAAGAGGACAAGCCGTCGTTCCCTAACCCAAAGAGGAGCCTGCGGCGACCAGCCCTCCAACACAGCCACCATCTCCCACAGCTCCCGCGCGTACTGCATGCGCTGCCGGGAACCTCATCATGGAGTCGGGCAGCCGGCAAGCACAGGGACAGGTCCAGCCCCCATGCATGCATGCAGCGTGTGACGGCGTGAGGGGAGCGGGCGTGATGCGCTGTGCTCCAAACACGTGAGGGATTTTGAAGTTGGCATGGCTATAGTGTCCACCTGCCAAAATACGCCACATCGGATGTTCATGGCGTGACGGTTTTTTTTATAAAGATAGTAGTTTTTTAGTTCGATTGCGGAATGTCCCAAAAGTTTGAGGATTTATAAACGTTATATCGAGTTGATACAACAAATATGAATTCACTTTGAAAAAAATTAACATCCGACATGCTCCACTTCACATGAGAAGTGACAGTTAATCTATAAATAAATATAATAATAAAAGACTATAAATTTGAGGGGTGTCCCATCGCAGACACTGTTCATTCGGCGCGCCTTGACCCAGATCACTGCAGATGAACAGTAACGGATCGCGATGCCCAGTATCCGACCCGCTACGCAACAGTACCATCCTTTTCTCTTTTTTTTTTTGTCCTCACACCGTCCACTGTTGCCCGCGCGAAGCGCACCTGCTAGTTTTTTTATTTCTTTATCCCACGCTAGTCCATATGCTTCTGGCTATTTTTGGGCAGTACTTCACATAGGATCTCATGCTATTTGTGTATTTATTATGGGACAAAAGTCAAACTTTAGAAGTACAAAAATATAGGACAATGGGAGTACCGGGAAAGTGGTAGACAGCGGATGCCACCACCTACCCTGGAGCTGGAGGGCATCCAGTTGTATGGCACATCCTCAGACATGTATTCATCTCAATCTTTGTAGTATATCATGGCGATCCATGTGCTCAGTGCTTGCCAATGCCACACCATAAGAAACTAGAACGCGTGTCTACCCTCCAGTAGCGTGGAGGTCATCGATCCCTCCTAGAGTGCAGTCGTTGGGCCTGTTGGTGCTTGCCAATGCCACACCATAAGAAACTAGAACGCGTGTCTACCCTCCAGTAGCGTGGAGGTCATCGATCCCTCCTAGAGTGCAGTCGTTGGGCCTGTTGGTAAGACTCTAGATTTGAATTTAACATGGATCATAGGTATCTAGGATCGACACCCTATCCTAGTTCATTTTCTACGAGTTGCAAAATGGTAGCTCCAAACTCTAGATTGCTCGCAGACTCTCTCACCTGCTTGTTCTTGACTGTTGTCTCGGTCTTCATCTCCTTTCTGTCGAGTGCCTCTTCCTCGCCGAGCTTTTTTATGAAATACATGCAATGTGCATGTTCGCGAAAAAAACAAACTATAAGGACCGAGATTGAATAGTCCAAGAGACAGATGAATTGAACTCTAAAAATTTAAGCAACAATCTAAGACTGCAAACTATAAACCCTTTTAATTAGCACCTTGGCTTCTAAGTTCTTCTACAAAAGTAATATAATACGTCCTTAAGGCCAACACACTAATCATTTTCTTAGGAAAGATTCACATGGATGTAGATAATTAAGGGCATAGAATTGAATTGGGTTTGATACCATTATGTTTAGCCCGGATACTTTGGATATAAATAAGAGAGGAGAAGTTATGAATGTCCTCGATATACAGAAAGAAACTATGAATGATAGGTACCTGCGACTTCCGATATACGTTGGACAATCGAGAACGAAGGCGTTCACATACTCGAATATGGCAGAATATGCAAAGGTGGAAGGAGAAGATGCTTTTTAGGGTAGGAAAAGAAATCCTGATTAAAGCAGTAGCAGAAACAATCCCGACATTTGCATTGGGATGCTTTAATCTGACCAAAGAATTATGCAATCAAATTAGTGCGATGATAGCAAAATACTAGTGGAGTCACTAGTACAGATGCACAGGATCAGCTGGTCAGGGACTCAGGGGCGGAGACAGGGGAAGCAAGGTTGCTTAGTATATACTATAGTATTCCTCATTAGTCAATTCTAGAGATTATAGATAAAAGTCCCATCAACTAAGTTAACAAAAGTCCCACTAAAAATAAAATACATCTCTTATTGTGTTTTTTCAAGTTATATCTCTGTATAATTCTATGTGGCCAGATAAAACAAATATGATGATACCTGTTGGTTTTATAACAACGTCCTTTTTTATCTTCAGTTTAGACAAATACTACTGTATAAGGACGGATGGAGCTGACCGAAACAAAGAAAAAGAAAGAGATTAAAGCTGATTTTATAGTTTTTTAAACCAACATCAAGGTCAATAATATTTTAAGTCGATATTAAAGTAATATCTGAATCTTGGCTTTCAGCCCTGCACATCTGGATAACCTTGACAAAGCCAAAGAGAGAGGGGTTGGGTTTTAGGGACATCCATACCTTCAATTTAGCCATGCTGGCTAAGCAAAGGTTGCGTCTCGTACAACAGGCTAACTCTTTGTGTGCTCGAATATTGAAGGCCAAAAATTACCCAAACTTAGAGCTAAAGTCTTTGTGGAGTGTCTGCTTGAGTTAAAGTCGTCGACATGATACATGTACTTGCTTTTTCCTGAATTTATTTCAGAAATTAACGACGGTATTCTTTCAGTGGTAGACGTCATGCCCGTCGATAGAAACACATATGTGGCTACTTTATCAATCTCGAGATCTGTTAACCTAGTATTTAGGAGGCGTTCGTAGTTCAAAGAAATGAAGCAATGAATTTTATGATTTTGAAAGCTAGCTAGTTTCTATATAAATCGCGAGTTAAATCTTGTTTGTGAGATCTTGCATTCTTGGCTATATCTAAACCATCAATTATATTATTGGTCTATTTTATATTTATTGCTGGCTCATGGAATCAAATTTTGTGGCAGGACATTAATTAGTTATATCATCCAACAATCAAATCCATTTGTGACAGGGCAGTAATTACTCCCTCCGTCCTCAAATATAAGGCATGCACATTTCAAAATTCAACTTTGTTATCTTTGGCTAACAGTTAGCGTAATTATATCAAAAGTTTGCATTACAAACGTAGTTGCATCATATTTGTATTTAGCAAACTTCTTCCTATAAATTATATATTATAAGAGAAATTATAGGTCAAAATATGTTTTTTAAGACTTCACCAAGTCAAATCGCGCCTAATTATTAGCAGGGGTCATTTAGATCCAACTACTGATAATACATTGCTAATAGGTGGTTGGTACCTATTAGCAGTTTAGCAGTTGGAACTAATGTTATAATAGCCCTCAAGCTAATAGTTGGTCTATTAGCAGGTCGGTTTGAAATTACTATTACTAATTTAGACCATATTTAGATTCATAGAGCTAATAGTTAGCTAAAAATAATAAGCTCATTTGAATCCAAATTGGTCCAACTAATAATTAGCTAATAGGTTTGGGATAAAGAAACTAATTAATAGCAGCTAACTATTAGCTGTATGGATTAGGGCATTGATCATCTTTATATAACAATCTACACACGCTGGTTACTTTGACAGAAGCTCAAACACACATGAACTCCAAGTAGGAAACCATGAAGCTTCTGCAAGCTACTGTCTCCCTGCTGGTCTTCCTCCTTGCCTGTTCCACGTCCAACGCTTCTTGTCTTACATGACGCATGCCAGTCCTTTCGCCGCTATCTGCTACAAGGATGCCGACTACGACTACTGCGTCAAGTTCTTCCAGGCCAACAAGGAGAGCGACACCGCAGACCACCGTGGCCTCGCCGTCATCGGAACCAAGATCATCGAGGCAACCGCTAAGAGCACCGGCTCTCTCATCGCCACCATGTTGACCTCGGAGAAGAATCAAGAGCAACTCAGGTGCCTCGTCGCGTGCGGCAAGGGTTACTTGGACGCCATGGACGAGATCGGCAAAGCGGCGAAGGGCATCGTCTCGAGAACGGATGGGGGCGTAGAGGACGCGGTGACGGCACTCGGCAAGGCGCTGGACGCGACGATGGGTTCCAGAAGCTTCACAAGCCGTCGCCACTCGCTGCAGAGGATGGCAGGTTCCGCAAGGAGACGTCCATCACCCTGTTTGTAACGTGGACGTTACTCCCCCAAACCAACAGCTAGAAAAGTTAGGGATCTAGATCTAGAGTCCTTTGGAAGATCAATAAATTAACTACTACATATGGGATTTTGTAAGATTGGAAAATAACTGGTATAAATAAACTCACAATCTTGGGCGCAGAAATTTCTTCTCGCAACTGTTCTTTTTTTTCAACAGATCCCGCAACTGTTCTGTGATTACATAAGAAAATACTACCAACGCGCAATTTTACCATTTGGGTCACAGTGAGATATCAGGGATCTTTTAGCAGTCCTTTAGAAGATAAATTAACTACTGTTGTGGCACTATAGTGGAAATCCAAACTCGGCTTCTGGTGGTTTCTCCTCAACTTTTTTTTTTTTTTGACAGATCCCGAGCTGTTCTTTGATTGCTACTAAGTGATTGCACAATGTTTCATGGTACTGCAGGGTACTCACATGCAAGCAGGAGCCCTGGGACCCGAGGGCGTGCTTGGGGCCTTATTCATTCACTTCGAGTACTAGATGTAGGAGTATACAATGCATACTGTCATATCGATTACCAAAATGATGCATGATATCATGTCATTTAAATCTGTTTATGAAAATGTTGTCATTTTGACATCATATCAAGCTAAACCTACTTATAAAAATACACATGCATGACATCATGTCAAGATAAACCTACTTATGGGTCTTATTCATCTCTTCTATACTAGATGACATCCTGTATACCATTGCATATGGGGATCGATTACCAAAAGGGAGAACGACCTCAGGTGAAGGGCGGACTTGGAAAATGTTGTCATGACATCATGGGAGATCAAACCTCGATGGGAAAAGGCCGGCTTGACATCATGTCAAGCTAAACCGAGAGGAATAGGGTGGTGGTGTGGAGAGTCGAGATGAAAAAAAGACACGCAGAGAAAGTTGATGCCGAGAAATTATTTTCTCGGAGAAAATAGCTCCCTACGCACTCTTAAAATATAGGACTGAGAAGAAAGATTTGATGGCCTATATAATAGTCACTTGAGTTAGAACTCTGTTGAATGAAGTTTTTTATTGTAGCACCAAAAAGTAGAATAATAAAGCTATTTAGGTCTCATTGGAGATGTTCTTAGAGAACCAATTGTGGGGGTATGACCCCGGATACCCATAGGGCTTCACATGGGCCGAGCCGCCAGGGGAGGCCTAGCCCACCAGATCACGTCGTGCGGTGCACGGTACAGGTCGGCGTGCGTTGCAAGACTACGAGAAGGATCCTTGATGACGAAGGAAAATCTGTTCGGATATGCTAAGATGCGCAATCCTTGTAATCCTTATCATGTAAACCGATCAGGGTAGATTCAACCGACCTATAATCCTACCCCCATGCTATATAAGGCGGGTAGGGACCCCCTCGATTTCACTAGATAAAAATATACAATCCATCAAAGACACATGATGTATGGTATTACGTCAAGCTGATGGCATGAACCTACCTAAATCGATGTCTCTGCGTCTTGTGTCACCATCTAGTTCATATCTCGCGCACCTCCACCGATTCATCTACTACCGTGGACACACCCCTCGAAAGGGTCGGCCGTATTTCGTCGACAGTGGCATGCCTAGGTAGGGGGTGTGCGTGCTGATTCCATGGCGAGCCAGATGGTCCGCTTCCCAAGCTTCATAGTCCTTCCCGAGCCAGGCTAGTCATTCACGATTGGATCTATGTCCTAGGTGATCGGCGCCAACGACGTTGAGGAGATCGTGGAGACAGTGCAAAATCACCTGCGCCGATCGTGCCAACATCCACAACATCTCTGATCCTGGGGCCCCGCAGCTGGGTTAAGAGATCCATCAACCAAGATGATCTGATTGCATCTATTGATTGGGTCACAGATCGCTTAGCCGAATGTAAGCTCCTCGTGGACTCGGTCTTAGATTGGTCTACTACGAGCGATGAATTTCCTGCACTCGAGGTCGCCAAGCCGCTGCAACCGAACGACCTGCTCACCTGCATCGTCTGGGGCGGTAAGATTCAGATCTGGTGATCACGGCTACTACAAAAGGGTGTACGGTGCGACGCCGACCACTTTCAACTACCGACCTACTGCGCTGGCCAACTACGAAGACCCGACGGAGAGCATGCCGAAGCCCTATCCCTTTGAGCTAGTGGGTGCGGGATCTACATATCAAGACGCCGTCCACCACCTTTTCATTGACCACGCCTAGCGCGACCAGGTCGATGACCTCTACAAGATTGATCTGCCTAAGACCAATCAGCCCGCGCCATGGTGAACATGGTGGCTATCCGCTAGATTTCATATGACTCCCTCCACACCATCTTGGAGGAGAGCCCGACACGTACTCCAAGAGGGTCGACTAAGATCGCATCCAGTTGCCCCCCTTTCCCCCAGGGTTCGGGGGCAAGCTTTTCCACATCAGCCACGACAATGTCACCAAGGATGGCGAGATCTCCGACGAGCGCGATGCTCGTTTGGCAAAGAACGCCGACCGCCAACATCGTCCAAGATGAAGAAGCCGCTCGCGCGGCCCATGGGGATACGAACGCCCCACACCACATCCGTCGCAATCTTGATGAAGAGTTCGACATGGTGGGCAACCAACCGGTGCTATAGACGCCGAGTGCCAACCTCACTCTTGCTTTCACCAAGCTGGCTAGACTCCCATTGACTCGAAAGTAGAAAAGATCATCGTGCATCTTAAAGCGGCCCAAGTCCAAGTCAACAAGATCCGGAACCCTACCCCATCTTTTTTTACTACGTCAGCACGCAGCCATCACCCCTATGGCTCTCGCCATGGCAGAGGGAAGTCAGCGCCAAGGCTCCTAACACCCTCACTATCAAGCAGGAGGCCCCTATCTCTATAGGGGGTCTAGGGACAACTACGAAGGGCACCCGGATCAAGAAGGACCCCCTCGCCCACAGGCGGCCGAGGCGACCTGTAACCCTACCCCCCATGCTATATAAGGCGTGTAGGGACCTCCCTGATTTCACCGGATAACAATATACAATCCACCAAAGACACATGATGTAGGGTATTACATCAAGCTGACGGCCTGAACCTGCCTAAATCACTGTCTCTGCGTCTTGTGTCACCATCTAGTTCTTATCTTATGCACCTCCATCGATTCATCTACTACCATGGGCATAACCCTCGATAGATTGTCATCCGTATTTCGTCGACACCAATAGAACCCTAAACTCGAACTCAGAATGGCCATGTTGGAGCTGTTGAGCAATCGACTTGTCTCAGAATGATCACCTCCTCACCGGAGTAGTTTTGGGAACAATCATGAGACTTCGGGTTCCATGGATTTTATCACCTGAGGTCTTGATTTTGTTTAGATGCATATATATATCCACATTAATCTATACGTGTTGAAGTGTGTGTTGAGATAAAACATAATTTAAGTTCTTCTATAATCTACTCCAACACATATAGATTAAGGTGGATAAATATATAGGGACGTCTTGCACCCGGACGTCCGGACGGGGCTAGCGTCCAGACGCACACGCTCTGCTTGCTGCCTGCTTCACGTGGGGCCTCGCTCCCTGTCCCGTGCTCGCACCGTGTCCCAAGCCCACACTATGGCCCGCACCACTTTGTGTCCCACACCCACACCGTGGTGCCCCTCCACACACACGCGCATGCATGCAGGCCCAGTAGCTACAGCAGGTGGCTGCTGCAGATGGGTCCCACTACAACATGTGCAACCCTAAGATCTACTTTTACAACATTTAAATGAAACACTTGCAACATACGTTCCGAAACAATTAAAACAATTGCAACATACGTATGAAACACCAGGAAAACTTAGCCATTGCAAAACTTATGCAACATCCATATAAAACACTTGCAACATATATATGAAACACCTAGAACACTTGAAACATACGCTTGAAACATGTATATATATGCAACATCCAGATATACTTTTGTATCATCTAGATGAAACATTTGTAACATACGTCTGAAATAGATGAAACATTTGGGACATACACTTGAAACACCATTGCAACATGTGCAATATTCCGATCTACTTTTGCAACATCGATATAAAACACTTGCAACATACCTCTGAAATATTTGAAACACTTAAAAATAGACGCTTGCAACATGTAGTTTCAATACAACATCTCCTCGATGCTTGGGAGAATGGATCCTCGCGGCGTGTGGAGTTCTATCCTGGTCGTCGCGGGCTGCATGCAGGCGAGTTCCGCCCCGGCCACGGCAAACTAGGTTGGCGGCGCAAGATGTGTTTGGCGGGCTCCGCCCGGGCTGCCATAAGCTGCACGTGGGCAAGCTCCACACCCGGCCGTAGCGAGCTGGCAGGCAGAGGCGGAGGTCTTCCTGGCTACCGCCCATGCATCTGACCCCCGTGGTGGAGGCGGCAGCGGTCTCCATCACCACGGGCGGGCGGCGCAGCGCGGCTGATGGAGCTCATGCGTACGCGGACGCGGGCGCTAGTAGAGCTCGTGTATACGCGCCAAAGGATGGGCGGTACGGTGGGAGCCGATGGAATGGGAAAGATAAGATATCAGTTTCTTTTCTTTTTTAATTACTTTTTAGAGAAACCATGTATACCGATAAAGCTGGCAGACCTATGGGGCGATCCACAGCCCAGCATGCCGTGTCTTAACTGACCAATGCGGAACGGACGCCCGTGGTGAAGCATTAGCATAATTGTATATCTAAACAAGCCGTGATCTGGTTTGGGCCGTCATCTGCAACCAGTGATCGGGGGCTCTGCGCTAGCCGTTACGAGGACCGCGCGCACGACCTAGGCAACTTACCAACGCGTCACCCGTGGCCCGTGGCCCCTGGGCGGATGCGGTGTGCGAGCACGGGCAACGCCGAGTCGCTGGCGGAACGGAGGCATTCGTCGTGATGTAGTGGTCATTGAGTGGGGCTCAGGGAATCGCCAGCGACGAGAAAAATAGGAGTAGCAATCTGTCGTAGTAGTGTCGTACACTCGTGCCCCATCCTTGCGCTGCATCAGCTCCACAAAGGGAACTGGGTGCTCCATTTTTTTTTTTGAGCAAAACTGGGTGCTCCAATTAGCAAGTGTTATTAAGCATGTCTTGCATCCTAGTGGACAGAGGTGAGGCCCAGCCCAGCTACAAAGTTGATTCAGCCTTTTGACTCGGATTTGATACCACACTCCAAGTGCTCTTATGTCCTGTCCTTATTTTTTACTTTCATTTCATAGGCCGCTGCCTGTTCTTTTGGGCTGAAAGTTCCAGATCGTGGGCTTCGAAGTATGTAGGTATATTTGGCTACTTGGAATCGAGATCCAGTTGTCCATATCAATATTCACTTTATCCACGCTTTTTTATGTTTGTACTATTGAAATTAGGCAAAAGTACATTTTTGAACCTCTAAGTTGTACGTCAGTTCGATTTGGAACCCTCAACTATGAAATTGGGTAACAAATATCCTCTAACTATCAAAATCGGATAAATTTGGTTCTCTGACCGGTTTCAAATATGGTTCTATATTTTCTAAAAATAATAAAAATCTTGTTTAATCTTTAGAATTTTATAATTATTGTTTTAAAATCAGGAAAAATTAGTTCTAGCTTTCTTCTAAACATATTATATATCCGGTGTTATTCTATTATTTGGATCTTATATTGTTTTATATAAATAATGAGCATGACTACAAGCAATAAACCAATAGAAATAGAAATAAGTTAGTTCCAAATAACTATATACATATAGAGATCATAAATAAGTAGATAGCATTTTTAAGAAAAAAACTATACTAGTTCCAGTTAATTATGAATTTTTAGAGATCAAATCAGATTTTTATCATTTTTACAATATAGAAAACCAGCCAAATAACCAAATTGGTCTAGTTTTGATAGTTGGAGGGTGTCTGTTACCCAATTTTGTATTTCAAGGTTAAAAATTAGACAAATGCACAATTTAGAGGTTAAAGAATGTACTTTACCCCTTGAAATTTAAGGATCTCTTAGTATGAGTTGCGACGAAATAGTTGTCGGGATTGCTAAGACTTTCATGGATGTTGAGCTTAGAGGAGCTCACGGGGAGGCAACCTGACCATGTGGTTGATGTAGGCTCAAGGTGGCGTCGAGGTATGTAGTGGTATGGTGGTGGCCATTGGTAGTGGAGGACTAGGGTGGAAAAGGGCAGAGAGAAGGGAAACTCGCCGATAACACCATCAGAGCAGCTTTAGCATGGTGGGGTAGCAGTAATGCACCCACTAATGGCGCCACTGAGATGATTGGAGGAAGGCAAGAGGCGAGGGCAAGGACATTGAGGCTGTTAGTGGCGGCAGATGGAACGAATGACCATCAAGCAAACCATGCGGATCGTATGAAAGATCCTTGACGTTTAGCCCTTAATTTACGAGTTCTGTTTGGATCCACCTTGCTAACTATTAGTTGTGTTAGTTAAGGAAAATCAACTAATGGCTAATTGTTAGCTGGCTGATAGGTAAGACATTAGTTGGCTTATAGGGCCTCAACTAATTTTTAGCAGTTAACTATTTTTTTTTTGACCGAAATGGTAGGAGAATCCCCTACCTTTTTTTGCTTTTTGATTAAATGAAAGAATGATATTTACAAGCACAAAATTACAAGGCAGCTAGGCCCAAAAAGAAAAACAACTTATACAATGTAGTCATCTCTCCAAAGATTGAGGGGGGTTTGTCTGCTCGGCTTTGGCTTTAGTGCAAACTAAACCAAGTTCCTCCTTGAACTCTCTTCTCCAGATGTTGATGCTGACTTGGCCCTGATCAAAGATCACCATGTTTCGTGTTGTCCAAATGATCCAGCAGGCTGTAATGAAGATTTCTCTGAACATTGAGTTTCCAAAGTTGGTTCTGGGCTGGCATCTATTACCATATCAAGAGGTGGCAAATTCAGGTTCCAATTAATGGGGATGGAGATCTAGCAGTCCTGACTAAAGGGGCACTCAAAAAAGAGATGAAAGCTTGTTTCTTCACATCCAGTACTACAGAGAACACAGCTGTAATCATCTAGTTCCATATCTTTTTTTCTCAAAAGATTTCTAGTATTAAGTCTGTCCCTTAGGAGTAGCCAAAAGAAGAATTTGTGCTTACCCAGATTACTTGATGTCTAGAGCCAAGAGCAGAGGGGAGATGCTTCTGTGTGTCCAATGAGTAGCTTGCATGCCTTTTTGCTACTGAAACTAGAGGGTCCCCAAGAGTAACTCCAATTATCATTGATATTTCCATCCCACACTCTCTCTTTAGCAGCTAACTATTAGTTATATGAAATCCAAATTAATGTAATAATGCATGTAACTGATAGTTTTTTTTTCAGGAATACAATTAATATTTCAACCATCTTGAGAAATGTTTTAATAGTATCATAAATATTCTGAAATACTTGTGTGAGTATTTATGCTCACTCATAAATGAATTTCCTATGCATGGATTACTTTCATAATGTCATAAATTTTATTATTGGAGTAAGATTTTCCCTGAAACCGTCATTTATGGTAGGGGATTAATAGTTTCCATGAACCAGCTATAATCTATTTATTAGTTCAGAAGGACATCTGCCTATATATACGCCAAAGTCCATTCTACATCCACGCTCACGCTGGCTACACTACCGAGAGTCCAAACACTCCAAACACACTTGAACTTCGATTTGCATAGACACTGAGGCCAGCCATGGAGACTCTGAAGCTTCTGCAAGCTCTGTGCCCTCTCGTTTTCCTCCTCGCCTGCTCCATGTCCAACGCCTCCGTCTTACAAGACGCGTGCAAGTCCTTCGCCGCTAAAAACCCGGACACCGGCTACGCCTACTGCATCAAGTTCTTCCAGGCCGACAAGGGAAGCGCCAGCGCGGACAAGCGTGGCCTCGCCGCCATCGCCGTGAAGCTCACCGGGGCAGCCGCCAAGAGCACCGCCAAGCACATCGCCGCCCTGCGGGCCTCCGAGAAGGACAAGAAGCGGCTGGCGGGCCTCAAAGATTGCTCCGAGGTGTACACGCAGGCCGTGGACCAGACCGGCGTGGCGGCGAAGGGCATCGCGTCGGGCACGCCCCGGGGCCGTGCGGACGCGGTGACGGCGCTCAGCGCGGTGGAGGACGCCCCCGGCACCTGTGAGCAGGGGTTCCAGGACCTGGGTGTGCCTTCGCCGCTGGCCTCGGAGGACGCCGGGTTCCGGAAGGATGCGTCCATCGTGCTGTCTGTAACGGCGGCGCTGTAGCTGTAGCCATCGTCATATCTGGACGACGTGATGAATTATCTAAGCTAGGGTGTAGAATCCTTTTGGATATGTTAAAATACCCTGTGGGGTTTTATGAGCTTAGATAATTTGAATTTGAACTAATAAACTTTGCAATGTTCGTTGAACTGTTGTGATCATCTCGGGCTTAAGAAAATTGCTGGTCATGATCAAGCTGGATACGTATCAATCCAGTACGTCATTACCTGGGGATGATGCCAATCCATTTTTCGAACGAATAAAACTACGAAGATACCAATCGAACCTAATTGTATTGTACTAGCATTTGTAAGTGGATATAATTAGGACATATCAGAGTGTGAATTTACACGGCAAAGGAAGTAAGGAACTGACTCCACTGATCGGTTGCAGATTTGCAGTAAATCCCAAGGGCATCTGCAACGGTTGTCGTTGATGTCGCTGGCCAACTGCATTTTATTTGCTAAGACCAAGTATAATAAAAGGTCGTTAGTAGGTTGTATGCTAAGGTGGAAGAAAAAAAGGAGGAGTGAGAAGAGAGATGAGTAAGTCTACAACCAGTTAAACCACATAAACTAAAAATAATTGTGAGAGAAAGATATGTGTTTTAAATGAACCAACCACTATACGAGTTGGCTGATAAGTGAACTACAATATCCATGCTAGAGGCCGTATTATTAGCTTTGCTCTAAATTAATATAATCACTGTTTGTACAGCTCCTTCCTGGATTGGCTGTTAGAGCACAACAGACATTTCTGACCACTCGCATGCTCACGTTTGAGGCTCGGAGCTAGCGATGAGTGAATCGCTAGCCGGTAGTTCTTTAATCATTTTATTCTACATCATTTTGAGCTTAAGGGGGCGTTTGATCCGGTGATTAAAGTTTAGGAGGTGTCGTATATGTGTGTCGTATGGAGTGTTCGGATACTAATAAAAAAACAAATTACAGAATCCATCAGTAATCCACGAGACGAATTTATTAAGCCTAATTAACCCGACATTAGCATATGTTTACTGTAGCACCACATTCGTCTCGCAAAACAGTCTCAATCTATGCATTTAGTTTCGTAATTAGTCTATATTTAATACTTCATGCATATATCTAAATATCCTATGGGATAGCGACTAAAGTCTAGGAGGTGAATGTAAACACCCCCTAAGTATATTGTTGTTGGAGAGGCCCTTAAGTCACACTGGTTACTGTGAGCATTCTTGAAAAACACCACGCGGCGTGGGTGGGCAGCCGCTGCCTCTGTGCTCCATTCCTCCGTCAAGCGCAGCGACGACTGCTTATAGTCAAAACAAGTTGAAACTAGAAATCAAATAGTATGTATTTATAGTTTTACTTGACTTATTTCTTCATCACAACTTTATTTATACTAAAACCTAAATGTTAGGTTAGATCAGCTTATCCTAACTGTGTTTTTCCCTCAATTTATACAATTTTTTAAAAACATACTTCAACCATTCCAAATTATATGTCATTTTAATTTTTTTAGAGTAAAAGCATCTCAAGTTTGACCAAATTCATATAATAAAATATTAACATTTATAATACCAAATAAGTATCATTAAATTTTTCATTAATTATATTTTTATAGTATACCTATTTGATGTTATAAATCTTTTGTAATTCTCTCTATAATTTTAGGCAAATTCAAGATTCTTTGTAAAGAAAGTTAGAATGACTTATAATTTAGAACGGAAGAGTATCAAATAGGACTCAAAGAGGCTCGCTGGCCGCCACACGATGCCCATAGAGACAGGGTTGGTTATAGGTTGTGGTGGCGGGTGGCAGCCTCTAGTTGAAGCCTCGAAGATGTGAGATTTGTTGTTGTGAAATTTGATGAGCCCCTGTGGTTTAGCACGGATGGAGATGGACCATCGTTAAGTGTTTGAGGTTTTGATTCAGTTAGCATGTATTTCCTTCGGAGGCGATCCAGGATGGGACGATCCTGTCTCTCTTTTTTTATGGAATCATCTATCTTGTATTTGGTTGATATGGACAAGTTCATTCTAGTTTTTTTGTTTGGTACGAAGCGATGAGACTGAATGGGATGAACGATGTCCTTCGCACCATTAGCCTCTGTTATCTATGGGACCTGTATCTCATTTGTGGGGACCCATATGTCAACTACCCATACAAAAAAAATCTATGCATAATATTAAAAAACTAAAATTTCTTGAGTTTGTCACTCTTTGTTTCTTTCCCTCGCCTCCAATTCTCGCTCACTTATTTCCGGTTCCTATGAAATCTGATGGTCCCTTATGGTTTAGTATAGATGGACTGTCATTAAGCATTTAAGCTCCCGATTCAGTTAGCATATGTTTGGTTCAGAGACGATGCATGATCATCCCATCTTGTATTTAGTTATCATGGACAATTTCATCCTAGTTTTTTGTTTATTACGAGAGATGGGACCGAATAGGACGAAGGATGTCCTTCACACAACTAATCTCTTTTATCTGTGGGACCTGCAACTCATTTCTTGGACCCATATGTCAACTACCCATGCAATATCTTTTTCTATACCTAATATTAAAGACCAAAATTTTCTTTGACTCTCCATTTTTACACACTCTCCCCTGTCCATCCGTTCCTCACTCACTCATTTTTTATTCCTCGGTTTGTCATTCTCACTTTCATCATTCTCGCTTTGAGTTTGTAGCTACAAAAACCTTTGTTGGTGTTGCACCACTCATTTCTTGGCTTGGCCAACTCGAGTCTATTGACATCATGGCGCGCGTGTGTGGGCATGTGTTTGCACATGTGTGGACGTATGCTTTGCCTTCCATCTTTCTTAAACTCATAACAGATACACACAATAGTCATCTATTTAAGTGTATTTCACTAGCATTTATATGGAGTTAGTCGTCTTGAAATTTATTTAATTTAAGATTAGATCAACAACAATTAAATCCAACAGAGATAGCTAGCTTCATTATCATTGGCATAAGCACCGTGCAACAAAATGTATGTCCTATTACAACACAAGGTGTGTTTGCTAGTACTATATTAAAAAAACTCCTTTCTCAGTAGTTGCGTAGTCTATTAAAAATGACAATCTCAGATACAATATGTATAAACCTAACATACTGGTTAAACCAAATAGCAACAGTGCGAACAACAACCATAAGACATGCTGAAGTAACAGATTAAATCATGGCATATGCGTACCTTTCCACCCTCGCTGCTGTCGTATCACACTACTATACTCGTACCTTTTGCAGCCGCGTCGTAACCCACATCGCAGTCTAATTTCGGCCTCGGCAGTAAGCTGTCGACAGTGATGGTCATAGCCTTCACTGTCGCCATCTGGGACCGACTGCGGTGTACACTAACACCGCCGATTCGTTTATGATCCATCCGTGATTAGGTTCTTACTTCAGTCGCATTGGAGCACGACCCGATTATGGATATACACTAACACCGCCGCATTGGCAAATGATCCGACTGTGTCGAGGCTATCAAAACCGTCGTGTGGGCACATCAACCGCTTGTGTAGTGGTCACCAGCACCGTCGTCTTGTACATCGACCCGACTGTCAATGGTGCGGGTTCATTGTCGGTTCGACGGCCGAAACGCCTGTGTAGAGGTTAACACCACCGTTGCTTTAGCATATGATCCGCCAGTACAAAGGCATGGTCACCGTCGTCTTGCACCACGATCCGCCTTTGATGATCGTTTAGTTAGTGTCGGGTTACTAAAGGATTTGGAGGTGATATACTTTTGATCCCTGCCGCATCATACCTATACCGACGGTGACATAATTTTACCTCGTTTCACAATAGTTACTAATTCAGCTGGGCTCTTAATAGCTTGATGAACACAAAGCATACAGATATATACTTATTACATCCACAAATCATGTTCACAAACAAGAGTACTTTTTACAATAACAATGGACGCTACCATAACATCTTTTCTCAACTGATGTCCTAACACAAGCGGTACATAGAGCATACTAAAGGTACTGATCTATACAAAATTACATAACGAAACGACGTAGTTGTGCTCCTTATATGTGGCACTCCTGCTTGCAAGACAAAATGAATATAATTAGTGCATCCTTCGGATTGGTAGCCAATGCACCATGGAACCCCTCTTATTTATCTCTGATCACAACCTAAACAAAGCAGCAGAACTAATAATATTGAACATACCATTCCTTTAGTTAATAAGCCAAAATTGTCCTATACATACATAGAATGAAAACAACTGTCTACCTGAACAAAGACTGTCGTGACGACGAAATACAGAAAATGCACCTTTACGGCTCTGCTAATGACTCCATGAACAAGGGAACATAAGGAAGATAGTAAGGCATATTCATATGGAAATGCCCTCTTGATCTACAAAAGCGGATGATACGGGCATGGATGATATGAATCTTTCTGCGGTCCATGTCATATGCAATCAATGCTCTATTATTCCCAACAAGGAAAATGAAATTCCATTCTGGGTGAACTATAATCACTCTGTACTCCTCATCACAAAGCTCAGAACCAACTTTAATATTCATGTGTCCAAACAGTTATTCCGTGTCCACAACATGCTTCAAATTCCAGTTATCAGTGCCATAATTTTCAAGTACCCACACTAAAAGGCAAGACCTTTTGCGAAAATCAGCACATCACACACACAGGTGACCCTGAGCTTGATGGATGGACATTTCAGCACCACCAGGTTTACGAATTGTCCTACATGTCTTTCCCTCCATATCCACAACAACTATCATAGAGTACTCAACCATGTGCATAAAACCATTAAGAAAAATACTTCTCGATTTTGAACGTATAACAATACTACCCTCGCCTCATTTAAATTCCTTAAAGATCTAAGCTGCAGTTTTAGATGAGTAGATCTCCACACCTATGCACGCACCATCCACCTCAACAAATTTAATCACATGGAAGTGCGAGGACGTTGGTTCAAAACCTAAGTGAGCATGACCAACAGAACGGATGCTACGCGACAGTACATGCCATTTGTCGGTCACTG